GATTTATTTTCTATATGTCTTCGCCTAACAAAGGGTTTTTATGCCTTTGAGGAAGATTGGCAGTATCGACAATTATGAAGGGTTAACTCAAAATATCCTAATCACGTTAATCAATCAGCTAGACAATAATTATCAGCCCTAAATCGCATATTGTTACCTCTATTGATGTGTGGCTCATTGTATTGTAGTCTTCGCCTTTATCGTGTTGCTGCATTCCACTCAAATGTCATGCTTCTAGCTTGATGTAAGTTTCAAACCTAAAAGATCGACTTCGATCTTACCTACCATGCCACTCTAAGGTTGCACCCTGACCTCAAGCCAATGTCTTATCTTTAGGATGACGTGAACAATTGAATGTCTACACTTACGTAGGTTAGACTATAGGTCATCATTCAACCTAAATCAGTAAGCCTTCTTGCTATGGTATTGTGTGTGCATATGCTCCAAATGTGTCTTTCAGAAATAGCTTAGATGGAAATGCCTAACCACTAATCAGATGGGTGTAAATATAAACATTTTTAAATAAAAGACACTATTTTCTTTCCTCTTTATAAGTGAAATGATACTCCATTCCTATGTTCAAATTTAATACAAAAGATTTAGTTTGTTAATCAATTTATTTTAGTGAGTAAAAGGAAAAAAAACGGACAATATTATATAATTGTTCAAACTTCCTCATCCATTGATCGTGAACATCTAATGTCGATTAGAAAATGCCAAAGCACATTATGTTTATGTGCATAACTTACATCAATGCACATGGCAAATATGAAGTTTTACTTTCTATTCGGCATTGAGAATAGCATAGTCAAAGTAACACACTGTTAGTTGCACCTAGGGCGTGTTCAGCAACTGGAAAGTAAATAGAAAATAGAAAGTGAAGTGAATCGCTTTCTATTTGCAGTTTTTTGTTTAGCAATCGAAAAGTGAAAATGTGGAAAGTTGAGGTGGCAGATGACGTGGCATCTATTTAATTAATTTATCTTTATTTGGTTTATATGGCAATAAGATAGTGAAAAATAGTCAATTTTAAACTGTCGTTAGCAAATACAAAGTTAAATAGCAATATATGGCAACTATTGTAAGCCAATATTATCTTAAAAATCATATCATATCATACTCCCTTTAAAAGAGGGAGTTGTGGAAAAACTTTCCAATGACTATATTACCCCTATTCTCTTTTGATATTACATTCTAATACTAAGTAAACTAAATTAATTATCATTAATAATTTATATTATATGTCACTTTAAGTATGCATAATTTGAGCCCTAGAACTTCCAACGTTATTATAAAACTTTACATCATATTAATTATTACTAATGTATAATAATATATTAATAGATAATTGCATGTCAATAAAGTATTTATTGAAAGAGTAGAAAACATAGAATTGTCCTAAAACTATATCATGAAACTTATATAAAAAAATTACAAAGAGCATTTCTATGTTTAGGTAACAAGACAGAAGGTTAAACATTAAATTTTAGAAAACATTAGGATATTTAAGCGCATCAAGATACGTTATCTAAAATTTAAAAAAAAAGTGCAGCAAGATACAAGTAGAGGCATATAAGTATAATTTTGATAAACTACAAGGTATTTAAGTTTAGTTAAGCTTACAAAAGATTTGAAACATTTGTTATCCACAAACAATAGTATATGATCACATTGATAAATAATATTCATCATACAATAAGAGGCCAAATGCTTAGCTTATATTTATGTAATAGAAGAGATGTGGAAAAATTAAAACATCATATTTTGAATGAGTCTCAAGATTTTGAATTATTTCCTGGAATTATATACTTTGCTTAGAAAACTTTAGAAGAGGCTTTTGAAAGACTACTACAAAGTGTTGGACATCAAATAAATATTGAAAAAAAATAAAATCCATGATATCGGGTTGCAAAAATCAGGGATATGTGTGTAATACTGGGTGTCATATGAGATAATACTCATACATAACATGATGTTATAATATGTAATTTAACATATTAATGAATTTTAAACATAAAAATTTGCATCAAGATATGTGCTTAAGATTTGTGAGAGCTTAGAGTGGAGAGATTTAGGAAAAGAATTATAGCCTTTGTGAGTTTTGCGGGTTTCGATTTTGTTTTCCAAACACGATCCAAACCCCAGCCCACAATCAAATTAAAAATAACATGATTTTCTCGATATCTTCAAAGGGATATATCGACCATATTTTCGATAACAGTCGATATATCAAAAAATCAACAAATAAAAGATATTATATAAAATATTACTGAGATAAAGTCTTTTAACCCGATACATTGGCCTATATAGCAATATATTGGTCGATATTTAATAGAATGCTTATAAGAGCAAATATGTAAAAGTTATTTAGATATTAGTTCCTTGATTTTAAATATCCAATGATTCTCACAAATTTTTGAAATTACTCATAATTTTAGAGACTAATATTAAATTATTAAAAATTTGAGCGACAATTATAAATAAACCATATTTAAAAGAAGTGTTAATTTTTTTAAATAAACTCTCAACTATGAGAATTGTCTTAAAAACCCACTCAACTGACTCAATTTGACAAAACCCCCTCACTATGCGGGGTGTTATAGATAACTCCTCTCAATTTTTGTATAATTTTAGAAAACACATCTCAACTATAGCATATCTCATGAAAACTCCCCTAATCTTTTACAACTCTATCAACAAACCCCTTTAATATAGTAACTTCGATATGTGACTTGGGTAAAATACCCTCTTTACGAAAGTAATTTTAATTAAAAAGAAATCCTCAACCGATAATAAAAGGATCACAACCAATTTACAATTCGCTTTCCCTCTATATCACCTCTTTTATCTGGCAAAAGCCAATGTAATTCTTTTATGATTGATTGATATTTTAGTCTTTTCAAGTTAAGTACTTGTCACATAATAGATAAGACTCAATGATGTTAGTTTTGAGAGGTTAGGTTTAAGTGAGAAAAATTCATTGGGGTTAAATCAAATTTTTTTAAGTTGAGATAGATTATCTACAAAACACCCAAAAATTGATGGAGATTTGCTCGATCTTAAATAGTTTGTTGGGGAGGTTCCATGCCCTCCATAGTTGAGGGAGAGTGTTCTAAAATTAACTCTTAAACAAATGCACAACTTAAGGCACATGTGATATCAATTTTATAAGAGTGGACTTTATAGCAAATCTATCACTCAATGAACTGGTTTGGGTTATTTATCCTTAAATTTATCCAGACATCAACTCTAAAAATCTTTTACTATAAGAATCTCTAAGAAAATTTTAATATTTATTTGGAATGGGTATACGATCCTTCTGATTCCCCTTGTATTTCATGATTTGTAATAAATTATTTGACAAAGTAAATTAAGTTATTATTTTATATTGTTCACATTCTTATAAGTTTATGAAGCTCATAGTTTGCATATGAGTATTATTGTAGATATTGTATTCTTCTAACTCCTTAAACTAAATTTTTAGATGTTGTTTGACATTGGATAGATATGAATTATTTTGTTAAAATACAATCAATATGAGTGTATAATATGTACAAATCATTCTTAGACTATATTTTATTATTTTCTGAAATTAGGGAGTAATTGTTTCGATAGATCAATTAGTAGTTGGAAGATGTAAAAAGAGTACAACATCAGATTTTGGAATTGATCACATAATTTATATTTTCTTTCTTGATTGAATTTGTACATTTTAACTTAGAATATTCTAAAAAAAAATTCTTGAATATCTAAAATACTCAATCGCCAGATAAACAACATGTGGAAGTAAAAAATAGGTGGAAGTGATTTTTTTTATAACTGGACAAAATCCTTAATGACTAGATAAAACCTACCATTTTTCTTAATGAATTCAAGAATTTATTTTTTATTAATAATAATAGGTTTTTCCGTATTGATCCCTTACATCATTAATATTTTGAAATTATACATTCAAATTACTAATTAATCTTAAATAATTAATATTGTAAGGATTTAAACATCACTATTTTTCTGGAAGACAAAATGTTAAAATCACACATGGAAATATCTAAAAAAATTAATATATTATGATAATCATAAAGTTTTTACAACTATGTTATAGTAAATAAATAAATTTAAAGTAAATAATTATAATATTTGACCACGTACAGTGCACGTGCATTCTACCTAGTCCATGAAGAAATATACATAATTGAACTAAAGTCAAAGAACAATGAATTAATTTTCTAGACCACGTATTTAAAGAGCTTTGTAGAATTCTAATGATGCTCAAGTACTATTATTTCAATGCATTTGAGGTGCTTTGCGTAGTATTTTATTTGATCTTGGTATTGTCGATTTCTAATGATGCTAAACCATGAGAACAGAGTTTCTCATATGTTAGGCTCTTCTTTAAAAGTAGTAAACTTATATAGGAAGGTGTATGTGGATGCAATCATGTATTATATTTCACTGAAGTCCAAAAGTGAAGGCCATTATGAAATCTCGTATACAATGTAGTTGGATGAGAAAAGATGCAATCCAAAGAAGAACGAGGAGATTAAAATAATTTAAATAAAGACAACCAATTTGAAAAGTGGAAGATGTAAAAGTTAATAAAATATTATTTCCTTGCTCCCTTCACTTTTCATCTACTTGCTCCATTTTTTGAAGAAAATAAAAATGACTAAAAAGCTGATGCGACACCTTTGACTTTCGAATTACTTTCCACTCACATTCCATGTGCCAAACAAGGAAAAAAAGGGTAAATGGAGTCACTTTCTAAAATTTATCTCACTTTCCATTTACTTTCCCGTTGCCAAACACGCCGTTAGTTATACTCTTTTATATGTGAATGGATGGGTATCAATTTCACCGGGGACGTGCGCAGGGCTATGTTCATAATATTTATGCTTTTATGAAACAATAGATGGAAAATGAACATATTAAAGAAATTGATCGTTTCACGAATAAACATAGAGAAGTACAAGAAATTCAAGGGGAAAAAAGGAGTAGCAAACCTGACAAAGATTGTAAGTGAAGCTATCATAATTATCAACCACAACGATCGGTTTCTTGTTTCCATCTCTCCTCTCCTCAACCGAAACCGCAGCCTCCTCCACAGCAGCGACAGCCACCGCCAATCCTCTCCCAAGCTTCCAACTTCGACGCCCAAAACCTAATAATAATAATAAATTTTATAAAAAAAAAATCAGCAAAAAGAAGCGTAAATCAGTGAAAGCAGCGGTACAGTGATTGAACTCACTCAGATCGATGGGCGCTGTGTTGAATGACGAGATTTGGCGCGGGTTAGCTAGGGTTTTGGGAGAAAGGCGAGGCTTTGGGATTGTGGGGAGCGAGAGAAGAGAGGCCATTGGCTAGGTTTGGGAAAAAGAGGGGATTCGATGAGAGAGAGAGAGAGATGAGAATGGGTGAACTACGCAGTACATATGAGAAAGCCGGGGCCTCTGGGAGAGGGTCATTGTTACCAGCGAGCGATGTTTCGGGCGCTACGATCTCGCGGGAGGATGCACTCGCTTCTGCCTTTTATGGGAATTGGACGCAGGTGCTTCTCCTCCTGGGATTTTGGGGATCTGATGAGTAAGCTCGATGTATGCATTCCTTTTGGCCATGTTTGGTTTGAAGGAAAGTAAAGCAAAGGAAATGAAAAGAAGGTATAATAGAAACTATCTTTTTTTTGTTTGGTCTGATAGAAAATCCCATATATTCTCAGTTTTCTTCCCCTTTCCCAACTCAAGCGGAGCGAAAATGAGAGAGAGGGAGAGAAAATCTCACCCGACGTCTCCTTCAAAATTCCCGACTCCATCTCCGACCTCGTCGACTCCCAACTTTTTCTCCTCCACCCCCAAAACCCTCTCCTCTCTCCTCCCTCCTTCAACCCGACCCCCAAAACCCTAGCTCTCCTCAATCCAAAGCCTAGGGTTTCCAAAATGCCACTGCCTCCTCCCAAATCCCTCTCGCTTCAGCACCTCCCCGGGCTACAATCCACCTTACTCGATCTCGTCGCGACCCCGCCGTCTACGTGGACATCGGCGATCACGAGCAACCTGCTAATATTTCTCGTCGGGTCGCCGGTTGTCGTGTCGGGGCTCTCGGCGACGGGGATCGAAGCTGCTCTGGCGTTAGGGATCTTGACATGGAGGGCTTTGGGGGGTTCTGGATTCTTGCTCGTCGCTACTTATTTCGTTATAGTAAGCTTATGGCATTTCTTTGATACGTTTGATAATGGCAGTTGTTGTAAAATTTTTGAGAGGTAGAATCTTGATATGATGATGTTAGGGTTCGTTTACTCCCACACGGTCAAATTGTTATACGAAGATTTGGATTTCATTGAAATCTTGATTGGTGCTTAGGCGTATAATCTAGATTCTGAAATCCTCATGATACGTTGTGGCCTATGAAACTAGTAGTTCTTCTAAACTAAATTATAAATACAACAAGTTCAAGATAATGTGAAGAAAGAGTGCAGAAACAGTGAACCCCACAGCTCTACTGTCTGGAGAAAGGAAATGAAATGTAGAAGTAACTGATTTGTTATGAGAAAAAACAAAACAAGAAGAGAAAGAAAATAGGGAAAATTACATTTGACGTTCATATTCAGATGAAGCAGACAGTTTCAAGGCTTCTATATGATATAAGTAATAACTCTGATGTTCTTTATTTTTTGGGACAAAGGAAAGAATAGAAAAGGAAACCGGACTAAAGAACAATAAACCTAGATGAAACACGCCCAAGGTTGTTTGCCTCAACAAACTCACAAGGGATTCAGGAGCCGTGCGAGTGATAATCGGGTTGGCATGATCAAAAGTCAAGGCAAAGCTGAGCAAATGCATCTGCAACTCTGATGTTCTTGAATCAATTGTTTAAAGGAGAAGATAAGGGATTATAGAATTACATTTGAAGTCATAGTAAATGGAATCACGTTGTCCATCGTGTGCCACTTTTCCTGGATTTCCTCAAGGAAATTATAGAAGTATTTAACATCGTCTATAAACCTCAGATATGTCTTATTTATGTAGAATGGATTGATAGATACATGGAAGGTGTATATTTGTTCTATTTGTGAAGAATGTAAAACGTATCAAAGTTGTTGGTAGATAAGTATTGGCTTCAATAGGTAAAAGTTTTAAAATCCGACACAGAAAAAAGCTTTAGGAATTCTAAAGGGCCTGAGTGATATATCCAAATGCTACATTAATGTTCAAGTATTGGTCATTAAAAGTGAAAGAAAGAGGATCTAAAAAGTTTACAGTTTACAACTCTATTTATAGGAACAACCCTATTTAAATCTATAACCAATATAAAAGTTGAATTTATTCTTTGGGTATGCCTCTGAGACATAGCATCAGATGGATATCAATAAAATGTCATATTGAAGTGTGACGTAGCAAGAATGACAGCTTAGTATCAGTGGGATTCACTAGAATTTGCTTAGGTCAGAAGTGTTTGGTATAACTGGTGTATCGGGTGAGTATTAAAAAAATTTACTTGCCATTGAATGGTGCCCTCTTGGTCACTTTTACAATAGAGCCTATATAAAATTAGTGTTTAAATTATTTACTCATGTAAGCTTAAGCTATGTCATATTTGCCTCTCAGAATCACTTGATGCTTTTGTTGAAAAAACATGAAAATTTTTGTTTGAACTTCTACAATGTTTGTCTGTGGTGATAATAAGACAATTAAGGTTTGTCCAACGAGAACCTTTTTAAGTTCTAATGCTATTTCTAACTGAGAAAATACTTATAATACTTATGACATGACTTTGTTTTGAAAATCTATGTAGAATTAGTTATTACAAGACTGGTGAATATGTTCTTTATTTTTCTTTGATTTTTCTGGGAAATGGATTGAGTTGTTATTAAGGAAAGCTCCTAAATGCAATGTCTTTATCATCTCACCCTAAACGTGTTGTAGGCATATAAAATTGCTTATAGGTCCCTTAACACGGCTCAACACGAACTAATGAACCATCGGACGA